TTTGGTTTTATTGATCTCGTTCGGATTTATAGTGCATTCCTCATATAATATTTTTCCGGTTTGATAAATACCTACAATTATGCAATAGAGGATTTAGTTAACACGATATGCCCCTAACTCGTCTGTATATTTATAGTTGTATATGTCATCTACGTATTTCTTAAACATTTTCACAGTTAAATTTCTTCACATCAGTAGCAATCTAATCACAATTTCGCATCCTCTTTACGATATAAATATTACCTATGCTTTAAATCGTCAGTAATAAATCTAATATTGTTCGTTCTGATAGCCAAATTATTGCTTTTGAAGCGGTAAAGATTTGAGATTCCTGTTGTTGCGTGATCATCTTACAACATTGGAATGTCTTGGAATGTTAATTTTGTATATTTATGTGTGTATCCGCTAAACTTCCAACGCGGGCTCATAATGATGGCAGCGATACTAAAGTGATCGCGTGGAAGAAAACACGTTTGCTTTGCCGACCGCGGTTTTTAGTCAATTTAGTACATTAACAACGCCTTTGTTTAGTGGAAACCTTGCAGTTTACGAAACGAATCAGCCCCTGCTCCGAGCTGGCTTCGTTTCAAAATAATGTACACTTATTGACACCAGAGCATAGTGTCAGTTGCATATTATCGAAAATATATGAAATTCTGAACGGTGTAGGAACAGGGGCTGATTGGATCCATAATCTGTGAGTACTAAAGAACGTTAATGTGAAAATGTTAGTTTATCTGCGTGAATATCCGCTAGAGGCAGCGGCCTTGTTTTGGTCATTTGGATGGAGACCATTTAAATGGTCACGTGACTGTTGCCATGGCAACAAAGGCATAGAAAAAAAGTAAAATCCTATTGTCCTCATATACCAACATTGACCACATTCATACAAACTAAACTGATTTTTTTATATAATTTAATGTATTTTTGGCTATATTTGAATGGGAGCCATGCATTAATCTACCTGAGTCCGAATCTGATCCGAGTTGTAATAAAGAATTCCAATCCGATTTGAAGAATTCTGTAATAAAATAAATTTCTCATCCAAGTTGAAATATTTAACCAAATAAATATAAAACCAAGAAATACATGTCAAGAAGCTGACAAAGTGACGCCCAATTGAAGTATCAAATGAAAAAAGGCGGCGACAACCGCGATAATGCTTTGATAAATGAATGGATAATTAATTCTTGCAATAATGTGTGGATAATTAATTCATTTTATTTCGAATATCTAAGTCCGATCCGACTACGAAACAACTTTATCAATCCGATCCGAAATGTATATTTTTGTTCCGAAATCCGAACAAATCCGATCGGATTTGCACACCTTTCCTAGGCATGAACTATAATACATATATTATTTAATTGTCATTTATAATAATTGATAAAAACTGTCAAAATGTCAATGTTTTGTACATGTTATTGTAGCATTGCCAAACGAATTTAAGGCTAGTGAAGGCTAGTGTACAACATTGTTTTATCCAAGATGTCCTTTAAATGCAACAATTGGTTTAAACTGATAATCAGTTTCAACTTACAAAACCTATTGAATTATATTCTTGGTTTCTAATTATTGTTTTTCATTATGTTCTTAGACCATGAATGCTTTATAAGTATGGCTCTAAGATGGTAAAATTTGTTCCAGCAAGGTAAGTATTCCAATATCGCTTTGCCATTTTTGAAACATATGTGACAAAGTCTTTGACATTGCTTGAAAAGCATGTCACAATAAGTCCATCATGAGAATGGCCATCTGTGAGACCAATTTTCTTTTGATCCATATAGATGACCATTGATTTGTCAGGTGCAATAATCAGAAAGAAAAATAGGGGTGGTCTAGGACCTGTATACAAGTTTGTATGCATTTCATTTAGGACAGGTAATCTCAACTGTTTTAGGATAAAATAACCCATGGCGGTCAACATGGCATATGTGCCAATCCTGAACGAAAGTCCTGAAAATGACCCGCCCTGAAACGGCAGTGTTGACATAGCTCTAACTTCCAAAAAGGAAAAGCAATAGCCTTTCTGAAGTGCTTATAGTGTTTAGAAGGGTTGCTTTTAGTAGGGGTGGTCATTGGAAGGAAAAATTTGTCTAAGTATAATATTTTACAAGAGAATGAACATGCACCACCCCAGGTAAATTGCTAATTGTGCATAAAATAACTAATATGCCTGGATAATTTCCTAAAAAAAAATTATCATGAGATGAAAAACTATGCTTAATTTAATATAGTTATTGTAGTTTTCATAAGGATTATCATAGTTTTCTTTAAATATAATACATTTTATTTCACTTACCCCCCACAGGAACACGATTTCAGCCATATATTGCTGTCTTGTTCGCTTTTAATTGCCGAGTCTTGCAAATATCATCCAGTTGTTGTACTTTTACATAATGATAAATGGCTAAAGAAGATTTCAAGCAAGTTTCATGAAGTTTTGAAGCAGTGCATTTTATCTTCGATATTTCGTCAGATTGCCACCATTTGCAATGCCTCGCCACTTCTCTGCCCGATAAATGCCACTTCTTCGTCTTCATATGTATTTAGATTAGAGTATCCAAGAGTACTTCATTGTAGAATAGTTGGAATAGTTGGAAAAATTGGAAACATTAGTTGCACTTCAAAGGACAAAACATCCCATATGAAATTTAGGATTATAATTTTTAAAAATCATTTGAAAGTCACACACAATCTTCGAAAACTTATCATGGCTACTTTTACAGGGGGGGGGCGAATATTTTCACGAAACGTTTGCTCACCACCACAAGAACCCAAGTAAATATATTATATTTATTGCATTTTTATGATTTATGATAAAAACAAGAAATATTTCCATATTTTTGCCGTATTTTTCTGGATTCATTTAAGAATTAACTACAATAAAATCCAAGGGACTTTTGCACAGTCAATTTAAGGGTATTCTATACACGTTTCAGCTCTCTAAAGGTCCAGACACACCGGATACAATTCAACAATGCGACACAATATTTCAATTTTCACTGACAGATAACTTTGATCCTAGTTTAAAGTGGCACTATCATTAAAATTTTCTGCAAATTTTACGGCCGCCATTAAACACAACCAATTAAGCGAGAAGGCGTTTTGGAGAGGATGGATGTGACTTCATTCAATCAACACGCCGAATGTTTTCATTGTATTTCACTATTATTTCAACAATGACTTCTGACAAAGGAGATTCGGACACTTCAGAAAGCGAACACTCACATGGGAGCAAAGAGAGCTGCGATGAAGAAATGTACGGTAACTTAAATTTAAGCGAAAATAGTGATGAATTTCCTTATGACACCTCTGTTGAGCCTATTGCAATGCCAGAGGAGCATGCAGAATATCAGAGGGTTGTTTCGCTACAGGAAACAACAGCAACAACTGGCAATGCGGTTTTCGAAGGAACAATCAGTTCAATCATGGTAAATTCCCTTCGATTATGCATAAATACAAGAACTTGTTCATTCCTATACAAGAATGTATATATTTCTAGGTGTAAGTGTGGTACATGCTCGGTAGAGTTTGTTGTTAAGCCTGATGAATGCCATTGTTGTGTTGACATTGACCAATGTAAAGTGAAGATGGCTGATGTGAACCTAAATGATCGTTGCTTGACAGAACACTGGCCTTTGAATATGGTTGTTTAAACCCCTGGGTTTTACAAATCACTGGGATAGGTTTCAAGACCAGAATGAAGTGGGCAAAAAATTACACAGCATTGTACGAGAAGGGTAAAAAGACAGAAAATGAGTAAGTACAACATGTTCGAACTAATCCGGATTTGAATTACATCTGTTTTGTTCTCCATATATCCCCTCCCATACTCCCATTGGAGATACAGGCACATGCACAGTATAAAAGTTATTATCACACCCTTGTATGTACTTACTATACTGGTTAATTAAAAAAGTTGTAACCACATATCCCATATTATATTTATGATAATTTATTAAATACCTCTTACCATAGTTTTGTTTCTCCCTCACTTCTCGAACAGTTGCTTCACCATACGTATATTTTGGGCAGGTAAGCCGCAATTTTATATTGCCTTCTTTCTCTTTCTTTTAGTTAAAGTTGAAATGAAGAACTGCAAGAATTGTTCTATAATGTAGATATAAGAATATTTTAAGTCATTTTTAATTCTTATTAACAGCATAATGGAACAAATTAGCACCATAAATGCATAATTAGTGAACACTAAATTTTGTAAATGTTCACCTGCTCAACATTCCCATATAAGAATAAGACAACATTTTTGGAGCAAATTGATTGATTACTGAATGGTACGGTAGCGCACAAGGGACACATCCTCACACAATAAAACATATGCACACTTTTTACAGAAGTTAGGTTGCTTCATTGAAATATTAATGCCCCATGGAAACATGCATGCTCCAAGGAAATATATCTGACTCTGTAGAAATATGAGTGACTCCATGGAAATATGAGTGACACCGTAGAAATTTGAGTGGCTCCATAGAAATTTGAGTGACTCTGTAGAAATTTGAGTGGCTCTGTAGAAATATCAGTGGCTCCATCGAAATATGAGTGACTCCATAGAAATATGAGTGGCTCCGTAGAAATATGAGTGATTCCGTAAAAATATGACTGACTCCATAGAAATATAACCGGCTCCGTAGAAATATGAGTGGCTCCCGCAGAAATATGACTGACTCTGTGGAAATTTGAGTGGCTCCATAGAAATTTGACTAACTCCGTAGAAATATGACTGGCTCCGTAGACATTTGAGTGCCTCCGTAGAAAATTATTTTTGTTGAATAATTAACCCGCAGAAAGCTACGGAGCTTAGCCTGCGACTGGGCTGTATCCAAAATGGCACAATTTTGCCAACATTGTGGGACAAGATTAGCCGAAAACAATGCAAGATTTTGTCATAATTGTGGGACCCAAGTTCCCGGTAAGCTGAATTTATGAATTACATATATGTTCATTGTGAAGTGTAACTTTAAGCTTTCTAGAAACATTTTCATTTAGTATAATTTTAATTTAATTCAACATATAAATTAATCAAATATGCACATATGGGGGGGAGGGCAAGGGTATTTCTGTGACTCGTGGTTAGCAATTATTCGTGATTTAAAGAAATACCATTCCGTGAATCGTGATTAATATGTGTGCCGTGAATCGCGAAGAGCTAAAATGCTAGCTAGGGTCTTGAATTTACCAATATTTTACCCTAACATGTGAGAGTTTACGTTTAAAACTCGGCCCATGCAAATTTAATATTATGGTAGAAAAACGGAATACATTTGCTTCCCACGGTTGCGGTCTTTCTTGAGGTTTCTTCGTTTCATTGTAAATGTCATCGTATACCTTCGCACCTCTTCGTACACTTTGTTAACCACCGTAATGTTTGAGTAATGTTAAAGTCAGTAAAAATGTGTTTGTGTTAACATCGATTTCTGCTGTCTAGAAAATTGTTAAATGGTTTCAGACTTTGTTACGCTTCTGTGTTTCTAAAAATCGTGAAAATGAAATTTTGTTTTTCGTGACTTGCGAAATTAAAAAAATGATCTTCGTGATTTCATGACGAGACCCCCCGGGGCCCTTGCCCCCCCCCCCACATATATTGGGCTTATTTAATAAATGGCTATACAAATTTTAATTGCCCCTCCAGTTGAAGAACCCCTTTCTCGCTCCCCTCCCCATGGAATTTCCAAAGAACTGAAGCACATTTTCTTTTGAAATTTCAACATGAAATTAATGCATAAGTAACCATCCCCCCCCCCCCCGTAATTTGCCTGATAGACAGTTCACAGAGGTCGGGAATTTGCCTTTCATCTACGTGCACAGGGGCCGGGTATTGTTATAGCAGCTAAGGACCGCAGGAATTTGACAAATGCTGCCCAGAATCCCACCCGCAAATTTTAAGGCAGCAAAACCTAGTTTCAGGCACGCTGATCGAATTTTGCACCCTTGTGGTCAAGGTGGCCTGAAATTTATTGTCAGAATAAGTGAAAATTATAACCTGTGCCATGCAAATTTAAACTATTAAAGGTTTATGATTTCATTGTTTAAACACTTTTAATCACCCTTAGCAATAACTATATTGTTATTAAATGACTATGCTATTATATGCCATTAAAAGTTTAATTAATGTTTAAAATCATCCCGGGGTGGGGCATTTCCACTCTCAGCTTGCCCAAGGGCTTTGCATTAGTCTTCAAGTTGTGTCCCTGCATCTGGGCATTTACACTATCATAACCAATCAAATCAAATGCCCGGGTGTGTTGTGGGTAGAGATGGTTACTCCTTGAATTGACTCATGCATAACCTTTCCAATAAAATTAATATAAGACCCCCCTGGAATTGCACAAATTCATGCACGTACTGGCCCTCTAGAATTGCATGCTATTCCCTCTGGAAATATTGCATGATATCTCTCATGAAGATTCAACAAAAATTTAAGTTTTCCTAAGACCCTCCCAATGGAAGTTCCAAAAGGATTTTGAGCTGCCACCCCTTGGAATTCAAAGGTTCCTGCACATGGGGGGGGGTGATTAAATTGGAATAGCCCATTTATGCAGCCCAATGGAATAGCCCATTTATGCAGTGGCTATGCACTAAAACTTTCAGAATCTCATTATTGTAAAGTAAATTAATCATATTTCTGTCATTTTCTACAAGGTAAGATATATTTCATGGATTTCTTATAATTCAACGGGGTCTGGAAAGTAGATCATGGCATAAAATATTATATATTATAGGTGCACGCATATAATGTGCTCGCCGTTTTGTCTTTTATGTATGTCAATCCATTGGAGAAGTCCCCCCCCCCCCCAACAAGCTACAGACAATAGTACTTTTACTTCAAGTATTTTTTAAGGATACTTTGTACTTTTTACTTATTTTAAGTACATTTTGCTTCTTACGCAAGTCGTTTTATTAATTACTTTTACTTTTACTCAAGTACAAATTCAAAGTAATTTAGGCACCACTGCATGCGACGCAAAATGTAATTAAAATGCACATATTCCTGATTTGTAGGGGAATTAACTGATTCATGTGATCAGGAAAGAAGCATAATTGAATACTATTTTCATTTGGGATACAAATATGAGGACATTGTCAATCTTCTGGAGATTTATCATGGTATTTCTATTTGTATACGCACACTAATAAGGAGACTTGCAAAATATAACCTGAAGAAGAAGAATAACATGGTTGAACCTGAAAATTTACAAGATATCATACAAAGAGAAATGCAAGGGTCTGGTGAACTGTCTGGGTACAGAAAGATCTGGCATATTCTCCATATAAATCACCACCTGCACGTACCGAGAAAGTTGGTTGCCCAAATTGTACACGACATAGATCCAGAAGCTAATAGAGCATGCAAAGGAAATAGATTGAGGCGAAGAACATACAGGTCATATGGGCCAAATCATTGCTGGCACATTGACAGTATGTTTCATAGTGTACATTTATAAATGATGAGTTGGTGTTACTTGTTCACTTGGGTAATTATATTACATGTGGAAACGTGCTCTCAAGTGATAGCACTATGTATCTATAGGCGTAACGCACCAACAAAAGTACTAAGCAGTATTTTTGCTTGCACACAATGGTTACACACAATTTGAAAACACTTTTCCACATTTATTACAGTTGCATGTAAATGTATACTTGGTAATATTTATTTTAAAATAGGAGTTATATTTTGTATATTATTTTTTGTTGTTCTTATTGAATTGATCATGAATAATTTTTCATAATAATTAAAGGCTTTATGCAACAAATATTTTTCGATGGTGAGATTTTTGCATTATGTTATAGAGTTCTTTGCACTGGTTCAAAAGATGCAAACCGTTTTCCTAAGCTCCAAGTAGTTTTATTTTTATAAGCCTTCAAAGTCACGAATTTTGCCACTTTCTTTGCGAAAAAAAGTGACCTTTGGTGATCGGTGGTGTGACGTCACAGTAAGGAGTTGTCAATTTCATGCTGCAATATGGTGACTACTTCAGGAAGCGCTGTGGCCAAGGCTTCTCGATATTATGGCTGATCTTGCATTGCTGGTACACACAACGGTGCCAGTTGTACTAATACGCAGTATACTGCGGGTGTTTCTATGCATTGTTTTCCTGACAAAGACAAAGCAGCATCGAGAATGGTTTCATTTTGTTCCGTGACACCGGCCCGGCTTTGTTCCTTTGAAACATTCACCTCTGTGTTCTATTAATTTCGAAGACAGTTGTTACGTTACTCGGAGAGACATAACAAAAGATTTAGGAATTAGAGTGGTGCTTAAACCAGACGCTGTTCCAACAATCGATGCAGCAATAGAAGCCGAGGAAAGAACGGCAACGATCAGAGAACGTAAACAGGTATAAAATAGAATGACGCCATATTTTTGTATCTTGTTTAAATATTATATATATATATATATATATATATATGTCATGTTTGTCTGGCATTTCGTTTGTCGCCGCAATGATGTTTTCTGCTACGAATAAAGGCGTGTTTATAATTTCTCAATATTTCAGGTGATAAGATCTCTTGTTCAAGAAGAAACATCCAGTGCTGCGACTTCTCAAGCCAAGTCAGAAGCTGTCGAAGTTGAAGGTGAAGCCGCACAAGAGGTGCACGAACACGTAGCGTCAAAACCACAAGAAACAGTAGAAAGTCCAGTTGAAGAAAAGGAAGAACAAATCAAGTCGTTAAAAAAGAAAATCCACTCCATGCAGAAAGAAAATTGGGCTCTCAGAAAACAAAAAAGATCACTGCAGACTGCATTAATAAAGTTAGTCTTCCTTGCCAGTGTAAAAACTATTGCGACTATAAATTTGAATGAAATGAAACCTGAACCCCCCCTATTGAGGGGTCCCTTCATAACCCCCTTAAGGATATAAAAACTGGGATCCCCCTTGGATGCAATTTGTGGAAGTTACCCCTGAGGATATCTTACTAACACTTTTAGGATATCGCTTTTTCCCTCTTGGATATCAGCAAAACACCTAATTTTTCCCATTTTTAAAAAAATCTCTCGAGCTACCCTGTAGGATAATTTAAGATGAAGACACCCTCCTCCCCATTCTGCGATTCCCAAGTTCGTTGCGAACTTCCCAATTACGTTACCAAGTTCGGAAATTGTGTGCAAACTTTGCAACAAAGTTCGCAAGTTCATTTCAGTGTTTTTGAACTTTGTTTTTTATTAATAATTTGTTCATGACTGTACAGAGCAATGCACTGTACATGTTTATTTTTTGTTATTCAATTATTCACTCCACTTTAGGAGTCTCAAGGATGATTTAACGAAAATCAGAACATTAGTGCGGACCCTACATGAACAGAAACAGTACATTAAGGAATAGTGGATTTTCAGACGGAATAGCAAATATAAAAATCTACTATTCTGGCTGTATAGTACAAAAAAATTTAAATTTCGACCCCTGCTTACACAACAGAACGTACCAGAGGATTGACCTTCCTAGAGTCACACAACTATAACTAAGGGGCCGATTACATGGAGGTTTTCACACATAGATAAATGCAACTAGTTATTCAAAATCAGTGTAAGGGGCCTGGCGTCTCATCATGTACTATCTGTATGCAAAATTTCATTTGATTTGAGTCAATAAGAACTGAGCTATGCTTCAGTTTACTATTCAATAAACATACTTACCCAACCAATGACGTCACACGTTGTGCTGAATCGGCAATTTATATTTTGGACAATTTTGCGTATAACTTCGGAACCAGATGAGAAAGAATAGAGCAGTAAACGGCCAATCGGCTTATTTTTCATGCTCTTTCAGATAAAGCAATAAAAATTTTTATTGCCAATACCCTGTAAGTGCGACAAATGTAATTCCCAAATGCTATTTGTTTTCTTTGTCTGTTAGAAGTTCATCAGATTATAATGATGATGAGAGTGATGGTGATGAAGAGGAAAACCTTACCAATATTGATGATGCTGTCCTTAGTCATGGACCACATCTGAAGCTGAGCTGGGGGGATGAATTGTATGAAATTGAGCGCAAATTTAAAATTGTCAACGAACAGAAATTTATCTGCTCTCTTGATTCGCTCATTTCTGTGTTCCAGAGTCCGCTGTCAGACATGCGGTTGTTGTAAAGTCCCTAAGATCACTCATCATTTCGTTGGCACAACTGTCGTTATTAACTGCTCTTGTTCGTCAGGTCACAAGTTCAGGTTTTGTTCATCACATGAAGTAAATGGTATTTATGCAAACAACCTCCTGGCAGCAGCTTCCATCTTGTTGTCTGGAAACAATTATGGCAAAGTGAAACGTATGGCAAATTTCTATGGTCTGAGCAAGTCAAGCTATCACCGCTTCCGATCTATTGTACCTTATTCCCGAAATAAATGAGTGGTGGTCCCGAATGAGAGAGGAAATTCTTGGTGAATTTTCAGGAAAGGAAATTGTTATTGGTGGTGATGGTCAATGTGACTCACCAGGTTTCAATGCCAAGAATATTTGCTACTTCCTTGTAGAAGTAAATACAAATTATATAATTGGCATTGAAATCCTGGATAAGAGGCATGTTGGCCTCATCTCCACCAATATGGAAAAAGAAGCTGTGAAAAGGGGATTAAATGATGTGAAGATCTCTGAATTGGTAACAGATGCTTCCACTTCTGTAAAAACACTACTTGGTTAGAAAATATTTCAATTGCAATACTACTAAACATTTCAATTGCCATACTCAAAATTAAAAGTGCACATATTAAAAACTTCCCAAAATTTAGGCAATGGCTGTGTAGAGCATAAAATATCTTCATTAAAACTTTGTGTTTGAAAAGCCAGGTGAAATTGTCCAAAATTTGAGAGTCGTATATGAATTTCATATATCACTCTCAATGATATGAATGATATATGAACTATATATATATATAATTTTAAAACTTTAATTTCAGAAACCCAGTTTGAAGATATTGTCCGTAGTCTTGACGTTTGGCACAAATCGAAAAGTATAAAGAAGTGTCTTGCAAAGGTGTGTAATATTCTTGTTTTGTGTTATTGCAATGTGTCTGTTCAACCACCATTTCAAATATTCTAATTACTCTTAGTTCAGTCTCATACTAGTTCTAGTTAGTTCTGACATGTTTTCCCTTTATTTATACAAGTTGGGAAAGCCAAAACGAATGAAAAAGATTAGTGATTGGTCAGCCCATATTGTACGGCATTTCTGGCAATTGCTCCATGCAGTACATGCAGAAAGGATGAATCCACAACTGATGAAGAAGCATTGAAAATTATGAAGTTATGATGTTGCATTTGTATATATGTGTTATACAGGGTGTATAAAAAAAAACTGCACAGATTTGAAATTGCTCTTAAATTCGCAAAACAGCTATTAGTATCCAGTTTTTTATGTATATAGCTTCTTTGGGTACTTATAATGTAGAAAAATGGAAAAAATTTCTCAAACTCAAATTTTGTAAACCAGGGGTGTGTGTTTTTTCCAACAAACTAAAAATGGCTTGCCGCACGAATTTTAAAAGCTTTAATCATATTTTGAGTTGATAGATGGAACATTTGTTGGGTTTTTAATTACTGTACAAAATTTCAGACAATTTGCTCCAGTTTAAGCCCCTTTAACTATTCATTTTTCTCTAAAAAATTAGCCTTTTGCATGCTTAATTAATGCCTTTACCTAATTTGCATATTGCTGACATATGCAAATTAGGCAAAGGCATGATTAGCATGCAAATGGCAGGGGCAGATCCAGCGAAAAATCTGACTGTAGCATAATCATAAAATTCGGAGACACCATCAGTATAGGTGGGTCCGGGGGCATGCCGCCCCCCCCCCCCCGAAAATTTTTGAAATTTCATCCCCGGAAACGCCATTTCCTGCATTCTGAGCATCAAATTCTGTTTTAACATTTGGCCTTAAAAAGGCCATATTTTAGACAAATGGTTACAAAAAATACAATAACTGAAGGTCATATTTTTGAGAAAAAGTTAGAAAAACACGTAATAACAGTAAAATGTTTTTAAAAATGACATACCAAATCACCTTACATACATACATAGGAACAATCTCACCAGGTATTCTGTGGCGCTGTATTACAAATTCTGCTGGATTCCAGGTTCTTGGCATCAGTGTTCAAGTCTCTGTACCAGGGATAATAAAGCATCTTTTGACATAGACAATCTTCATTTGGAACTGTTTGCATCAAAATAATTTTGGCGTTTCAGTTGCTCCGTAGGTCTTTTATGAAGTGGGGTTTCTGACCCATGACCAACCCTCCTCCTTTTTCATCCGGGCTTGGGACCGGCAATGGCAGAGTTAGGGAGCATCTTTGAACAAATGCGATTAGGGAAATTACTTCTTTTACTAGTAGAACAATGCCAGGTAGTTAAATAAATGTTCACTGTAAATCATCTTGAAACAGCAGCACGAAGTAGTTAAATAAATGTTCACTGTAAATCATCTTGAAACCACGATGGCCGGTTGCTATGCAGTTTGCTCCCGGAGTCAAATTGCCTGCGTATATTGGTTTCCGGTTTCCTAGCTGTAAATTATGGCGCGGTTCAAATACTGTGTCTTTGGCGCTCCTGTTTGCGTTTATTTTTCAACATTTTAAAACGATACTTGCTCAATCTGTACTACATCGAACTGTCTATTAGCTCGTGTGCACAAATAACCTATACGGTTATTTGAAAACGCTAAAATGTTGGTGTTGTTGTGGCCATGTATTTTCGCCTTTTGAGCGATGAGAATCATGCCGAGAAAGACAAATTGTACTGTCTAGGGGTCTCACAGCATCGCACGTGCATGGCCTACAATCCCCCCTTGAAAACCCTCCTGAATTTGGAGCATTGCCGGAATTATTAGCAGAAATAGCTAAGAATTCAGCATTTTTCCTTGTTTTTTAAAAATATTTTTGTTGAAACTTGATTTGGGAGAAACTTTTCAAGGCAAAGTTGAAGAATAGCATTTATTTAACAAGTCTAAATGGATAGCAGTGCCGGAGAAAGGTGTGGGAAAAAGTCTCTTTGACGAACGCATTTGCATTTTATACGCGTTCATGATGCGCCATGTTGTTGCTTCACTTCCCGCTGTGTTGCCTTTTTAGTTCGATAGATTATTGCCATAAAAGTCAAACATGTGATCGAAATAAAGGACATCCAGGAGTGTGTAACACACAGAGACCACTACCCGATAGTTTTGGGGGAAAAGTTCTGTTCTTTAACTCATAGAAGCCAAGGAGATCTGTCATGCAAGTCACGCGAGGTTCATATTTGTTTACTTCACCTCATGCTGCACGTCTTGTGTTAGCTGGTTTCTTGACTTCGATAAAAGCTTATTGTGTGCCTTATGCAAGTTTTATTTATATTAATATAACTACAGAAGACTGAGTTATAGTTTACAAAAGAAATCAGTTGCACATGCCTTTATTTAAGCGGAGATGAGGGAGCCGTTTCCTCGCTATTAAAGACAACATGCCTTGGTAATCTGATATATAGTGGTAGATGTACTATGATCTACGGAAAACCATCATGAAAAACGTTTGGAATTGTAACTAAATGATTAAATTAAGTGTGCGTAAAGACATGAAATCTGTTTCAGGGAAAGCTGCGTATCTTAAGTAATTTAAATCACTATACTGTATGTTACTATTATTTTATGCGGTTACGGATCTTGCACAGTATAAATAATAAACTGTATTAGGCTGTAGTATACTTCGCAGGTATGATTGCACTGTAGCTAAATCTGCTATATATATTGTCAAATGGAACTATGTGTTTATATATGAATATCTCAAAAATACATCGTACACAAAGATAATATGAAAGCATTTTATAATAGAACATATTCAACAAACAAATATTCTTGCGAGAACTATAGTATAGCTAGGTTTTTTGACGCGTCTAACCAACTGAGTCAGTATGTTTCTCTGTCCGGCTGTGGATATATTACTTTAAATCGATATATGTTATGTATTAGCAGCATCAGATAATTTCCCCCAAATTACCTGCATATACTGATGTCTTAACACAAGTCTAGGCGAAAAGACGAACAGTTTGTACATTGGTTTGCGTTCCGTATTATGAAATATAAACTATACGTGAGCAAATATGATATATCGTCTGCGGCGCAGGCTAGAGGTATTCGGCGGCAGTTAATAGTTCCGACCGATTATTTGACAGCTAAATAAAATTATCACAATCGTTCATTTAAATCTGGAAGTTTATAAATCAGTTAAAATATACCAAAAAATTTGTTTTAACTGCAAGAAATTTTAAGCCAAATACATGACCTTTCCGATTATAAGGTTAATAAACAACGCCATTTCGCATTCACACCAACACCGCTGGAAAAAAACGAAGCCTGCGCTTCCGGGAGCAAAATGCATAGCAACCAACCACCGGGAACAGCAGGACGAAGAAAGGAAGGAAAAATGTTCACTGTAAATCATCTATGAAACAGCAGCACGAAGTAGTTAAATAAATATTCACTGTAAATCATCTTGAAACAGTAGCATGATGGAGTTCGGAAAACATAATGTAGGATGGATTATTTCCGATAAATGTCCCGGTCCAATAATCTTTGTAAGATAATATACACAACAATATAATGTAAAACATACTTCAAATAACAACATCATGTGAGCTCACGATATGAGCTACTAAAACAAGACACAAAATTTAAGGAGATATTTCGTCTCTAATTCAAAATCATTGTCACTGTTTACGTAATAATGATCATGAAATAAAGTCGAAATTTCTTCTTGAAAACTGTGTCTTTTTGTAGTTTTTAATAGCTGATATTGTGAGTCTACAACATGTTACCTTTCAAAGTGTGTTTGCTTATATTATAACCAGCGCTGTGACGTTTTGTTCAAAACAGTTTTAGCATCATTCGTCGTGGATTACGTGTGGCAAATTCGTCTATTATATGTGTTCAGTATCCAAGTGAATTTCACGGTGTACGTTAAGTAAGGCTAGGCCTCTGAGTCGCGACTCTGACATGGTGCTGCGTAGATATGTTTTCAATCGCCGTAGTGCAGAGATAGACCTTTCGCACGAACAAGTAGTGACAGGGATTGTTGCAAAAATTTGAAAAGCCGTATAGATATTTGAGAAACTAATTTCATCGACAAATGGCAAAACATCAACGAGTTTGGTTGGCAGGGGGCCTTTCTCCATTCGGCATCGCTCACTCCACATCTCCAATTCTGTGGCAAGGAAACAAGGTTGAGGCAAGTCATCCTTGTATATTTCTAGGAATTTAGAAAATTTGGTTTTCCAGTCAGGATACATCAGAACATTCCTTGGTAAACCGTAAACTGCATCTAGAACATCCAAGTTATCTGCGGTAAAGCGGGTTTGGATTTGTGACTTCAAATGATCCAGAACAGGAATTGTTATTACTCTCCGATAGTAATCTGACGGCGTGTCAGCTGGTGTGTTCGCGCGGTGTTGTTGCTTAGATGCTACCCTGGGCTTTTCTGGCAAGGTCCCCACGCCTTCTGCAACAGATTCTGCTTCTTCGAACCACAAGTCATGCTTGGCATCCTCTTCATTTCTAACATTCTCTAGATGAACGTACAGACAAGACACCTTTTCTCTAGCTGCACCGGCATGAATAGCCTTCTCTTGCAGTTGAACAGTGAGCGGACGAGTCACCTCAAGACATCTTGAAACAATGACAGGAGTTACAATGAACAAACACGAAACACTACCCAAGTACAAATAACCAGCTTTCTGCACAGACTCGGGATTCCAAGTATTGTTAATGTTGTCGCGAATTATGTCAAAGCATCTGATAACAGCTGGGAAAACTTCAATGAAAACAGACAAACCATCAATTCTTGCCACCCATCTGGTTTTGCAAACGTTGATTAGACGTTTATGACGTGATTCAGGTAGCATTTCTTCGATAGTCTTGACCAACAAAGCAAACCGCTTCGGGAAAAAGTTTAAAAATTCAGAAACAACGCTGACATGTTCCATCATATTACTCACGAGTTGTTCCTTACAACAAGCGGCAATGCAAAGGTTTAGCATGTGAGAATTACAATGAACATAGAAAGCTTTCTTGTTAATTTGTTGGATTCATGCTGCTACTCCAGATATTCTTCCAGCCTTGTTTCCAGCTCCATCGTAACCTTGACCACGACAGTCGTCAATAGACAAATTACGATCACCTAGAAACTCTTGAAACGTATTAGCTAGTGCTTCTCCCGACACACTTGTCTTACATGGAACAAAGCCAAGGAACTCTTCTCTTATGTGATGTTTCTTGTCGACAAACTGAACAACGATGCTAAGCTGTTCAACGTTTCCGCAATCTGATGCTTCATCTGCCAATATAGAAAAAAATTTAGCTTCTCTAATCTCATTAGTGATCTTTTGAGTAATTAAATCATCGCAAATGTCAATTATTTCGTTTTGAGTTGTTTTCGACTTATACGTTATATTCTTTGGGGTGCTCTTGAAGTATTCTTCCAAAGACTGCCCAGTGCAAGTCACGCCATACTTTAAGATTTCTATAAAATTACCAGGATTTACGTCATCGGAAAGGTAATACTGAGAGTCATACCTGTGACCTCGAAGTGGGATATTCAGCCTTCCACAAAGAACAATAGCATTGATAATGGGACAAAGTAATTTCCTGTTCTCCTCTATCTGTTGTTTCTTTAGGTCATGAAGCATGACATCAACAGGGGTTGTCTTCTTTTCCATAAACGAACGAAACATGGTAGCTCAAGTTGTGGCCGTTTTATGAAGTTCTGACATTTCAGAATGTTCACGGAATCTTACTGGAGCCACTTTCCAAGCATTAAAAGGTAACTTATATAGCCGTTGAAGTTTGGTGGAATTATGGGTACCAAGACTTTCGGGGCCAAACAAAACACAATTCATGCAAAACGCTCCATCAACTTTTTCGGAGTATACCAACCATGAAAATATTCTGAACCATTCGTAGCGGAATCTTCTCTTACTTTCATTCGTAGGGAACTTATACGAAGCAGTTGGCTTCCAAACGTTACGTAAAAGATGGTACTTCAACTCTTCTGAGAAAGCTGCTTTATTAACGTAGTTGCCAATGTCATTTGGATTTCCTACTTTATTTATTTCTTTGGTTTCAAGTGATTTTGTTGCCGTCTTTTCAACTGCTGCTGTTGTTATGACTGTAGCAAACTCTTGTTGCAACCTTTCGTCGTTCTCGGTTTTGGTCGTTTCTTCTATTTTCCTTTTTTTTGGACTTGTTTCCTCTACTTTTCTTTTCCTTGGAAAGATATGGTCGAGTATCACTTGCTTCAGTTTGGTTTTGCCCACAGAGGAAGTAGACTATGTCAGGTTTTCTTTTAAAACAACTTTACTTGACGATGAGCTGCATGTAGATATCCGAGTGGGAACGTTAACGTCAGAAGTAGTAGAACTTTTCATCGGTTTGACAGTATTGAAGGAACTGAATGGAAAAAGGGGCTCCAAAACAAAGCTTTCACTCTTGGCCGATTGACTGCTGTCTTTTTTGGGAATACAAAGAGGAACATAGTGGTTTTTTGTATCCGGTATTTTCATAGTTTCAGCGTAATTAATTGGCATCCAAGCGCATCTGAATATATGAAGCTTTTCAACAAAAGAAATATTACTTGACTCCCGAGGAAGAATGGTGCAGTTAAACATGAGAGATAGGGAATCTTTCGAAGTACTGCTGTTAACTGGAGTTGGAAAACAGGACTCAATAATGAAAGCAAACATAAAAAGGAACTCCACTGATGTTTAAAGTGAGTTGTTAAAAGCCTCTCCTATGACTGCTGTAGAAGGATCATCTTTCTGAAGTGCATTCAAAGCAATATCAGATAAACACATTGCAAAAGCGTTCGAAGGGCAGGAGAATGCGCCTTTGTTATGCTGCTGCTCATAAATCGGATGTGAAGCATAAAATGAAGCATTCACAAAAAGTTCAATGTTGGTAAGGCAACGCAAGTGGACAGCAAGTTCTTCACTACCGCATAATGCAATTGAATAAGCATTGTATAGGCAATTACCATCACCTGTAGTCCTACAAACAATGAATGCAAATCAACCTTTATACTACAGGTCTGCAGCCTACTTTACATTTGTATACCATTCTCAATATACAATTGCATCAATATATATTCATTAATCGAACAAATTTGCACACCCAACTGAATGTTGTCAACCTCTGAATATAAGCCCCCCCCCCCCCC